CTCACATCGCGTCAGTCTCGTAGCTTTGGGAGGCAGTTCTACGGTTGTGCCAAGGGTGTTTCAGCTCGTTGTGGGTTCTTCCGGTGGGCTGACAGTCCCTCATATGACACGGCCAGCAGTCATGGGAATCCGGTGTTTTCTGACTTTGACAGAGCAGATGAGGACAGACGTAGCCAGAGTCTGAAATTAAACATTTTAATATTTCTGATTCTAGTTGTACTCGTATTTGTACTTTTTTTAGTTATCTTGGTACTCATGAGGGTGTGAGTAATGTATGACATCTTCTACTTATGATCTGTGATGATTTCATGTTTCTGCATATGATCCAGTACTATCAGTAAGCTATTCTGAATAAGCTGCCCCAAACAGTTCTATTACAAAGGGGCATGAATGTCATTTAATCATCAATAAGCCATCTTGAATAAGCTGCCCCAAACAACAAGACAGATTATTCTGATAATCTGCAGATTATCAGATTATCAGAATAATCTGCTTATCAGCAGATTATTAATAATCAACAGCTGCGCCAAACAGACCCTAAGACTTACGTTAAATAGGATTTTTTAAATCCGATAAATCTGAATTTATCAAATCCATAAATCGACAGAAAAATTCATGATCCATGGGGAAATAAATCCGCCTCATATTCGAATTTACAAAATTCGGATTTGCATCACTGAATTGATAGAACTCGAGAGAAGAATGATAGAATGTGGGAAGATTGGAGTTAACAGAGACTAGAGACTGTTGGAATTTTAATAGTATTTAGCTAGATTTAAATTAAATTTATGATTAAAATCAATAAACAGTATGGTATCAAAATACCACAAGTTTTAAAAACATAAAATTGTAAAAGGTGATCTTAATGGCTGGTATTTGCCGAATCAGGCCGATTCCTTCTGGCTTATGAATTCCCGATTTAGGTTTTACGGCACCACATGAGAAAGAGAGCGGGGAGAAACCATGGCCTATGGTCCATAGTACGAGTAGGAAACTAGGAGGTGATGATCCAGGACGCCCTTCTAGGGCATGCAACGTTCGGGCAAGTAAGGATGAGGAGGTCCGGCTTCAGTGACTTGGGTGAACTTGTCGAGTATAATGAAGAGAGAGTTGAGAGAGGAGAAGAGGCCATGAAGCGGTGATATCTCCATTCATCCAAATCTTATTCTTCTGCATCTTTGGAGCAAGGAGGGTAAACCCTAGCTCTGAAACTCGCTCTATCTATATTTGGTTGGTTGTAATTTATTGAAGTATAATTTATAAGTTTGACAACTAAGGTTTTTATTGGACTTTGAGAAGATAGGATTTGGGTGGCATTTAGATACATATAACCCAACTTCCATGGATGTATATGTCTAACACCGAAACTTTAGTTTGTACATTAATACCACCCACATCTTTCATATCACATAAAAAAATGCCACTATTTTAACTTCTTAAATAGTGAAACGCTCCTTTTCTTGCATAGGGAAGGTGGCATATATGTAAGCATTGGAGTTTAGGTGTTAGATATGTAAATACATAGGAATTAAGTGGTTTGTATGTAAATCTTCCTTAATTTTAATGTTGTGTGATATTATTTAAGAGATTAAAATGAGATATTCAGGATCTTTAACTCTATTTTGTGTATTTAATGTATGCATTTAATAATATAGATTAATATTAAACTAATTAGGTTTTATTTTCAAATTATAATTTAGAGTGTTGATGAGAATTTGATCAAGTTCTATGTAAGGATTATGCATATACATTGAAATAAATTTTATAATTTGTAATTGATGAGAGCTTGTATGCATGCGATAAGAACCATCTTATTCTACATATTAATATATAGCTCTTATATAAATGCATAAATTTTAATAAATCGTTTACTTAATCTGGGGAGTGCATTGTGGAGATTACATGCTTAGTGTTATTTATTATAAATGTATTAATTAATTGTTGACTATGATAAATGTATTAATTCAAACATTTTAAGTTGGAGATGGAAGATATCGAGTTTATATAATACTATCCTGGCATTGAAGTGAACAAGAATATATAGATGTCTTTATCACTCAAGAAAGTCATGCTAAAGGTGTGCATAAGTTAATGATGGATTACTCAAATCTGTTGATATATTGATGGAATTTGAATCAAGTTATCCAAAAATGATGAAGAAATATGAATCAAACTCTTAACAAAACTCTTGTTGGATGCCTATGCACTTAACTTTTTTTTGGCCATATCTTATTTATGCATTGGAGTAGTTAGCCACTACAAGGAAACCCCAATAATAACTCATTTAAGTCTGCTAAGAGTACTTCGATATATTAAAAGTGTAACTAACTATAATTTACTTTACTATTTTTCCAAACGAATATAATATAACTATTTGGGTGAAAATTTGGATCATAAAAAGAGAACCACCAAATTCATATTCTTGATGGGAGGTACTACCTTCACTTTGATATCAAAGAAGCAACCAATCGTTACACTCTTAAATTTGGAAGCTTAATATTTTGCTGCAATATTTTGTATTTGTCATTTTATTTAATCAAGAATATTAATGAAATAATTATAATTTTCATAAAAGAAGTCATCCCACCTAATGACAGTAAATTAACACTTGCAAGATCAACAAACCTTTATCCCACTAAGTGGGGTCAGCTACATGAATCCTTTTTCTCCACTGCGTCCTATTGAATGTCATATTTTTATTTAATTCTAATAAGTTAAGATCATTTTTTATACAATATGCCCAAGTCTTTCTAGGTATACCCCTGCCTTTCTTAACATAAGTCGAATCTAAAATATATACTCTCCTAACCAGATCATCAGAGAGTCGACGATTAAGGTGTCCAAACCATCTAAGACAACTCTCTAATTTTGTCCGTCTTTGTCCGTCACATTTGTCCGTCACACGAGCTACACCAACCCTATCACAGATATATTCATTTCGCATTTTGTCTCTAAGTGTAAAGTCACTCATCCACCTAAGCATTCTCATCTCGACAAAACTTCATTAATTTTATGCTTCTCTTTTAAAAGCCAACATTCGACACCATAGAGCATTACAGGTTTGTCCACAATCTTATAATTTTCCTTTTAGCCCAAGTGTTACTTTTCTATCACACAATAGGCTTGAAACATTCCTCCACTTCAACTAACCAATATGAATTCTACTATTAACATCCCCATCTATATCAGCATCACTTTGAACAATAGACCCAAGATATCTAAAGCGTTCACACCTTTTAAGAATTTGATCACCCATACTTACAAATTCGTCACTTGAGCTACTACTACTAAAATTACATTCCGTGTATTCAGTTTTAGTTTTGCTCAATCGAAGGCCTTTAGACTCCTATGTAAACCTCCATAATTCGAGTTTTTCTCGACCTCTTTCTCTACTCTTATCCACAAGAAGGATATCATCAGCATCAGCGAAAAGCATACACCAAGGTACATCCTCCTGTAAATGTCCAGTAAGAGCATCCATAACTAAAGCAAAAATATATGGGCTTAAAGCCGATCCTTGATGTAATCCAACTGAAATAATAAAATATTTGGTTAATCCTTCTTCTGTTTGAACACAAGTAATAGTTCTAATATACATATCTTTAATAACTTGAATATAAGTCATTTCAACATCTTTCTTCTCTAGAACTCTCCAAAGGATATCTCTCGGAACCTTAATTGTAAGCTTTTTCTAAATCAATAAAAATCATATGTAGATTCTTTTTTTTCTCTCTGTACTTCTCCATCAAATCTCTCAATAAATGTATAGCTTTCATGGTAGACCTGATCGGCATAAATCCAAACTGATTATGAGAAATCTAGGTAAGACGTCTTAACCTATGTTCAATTACCTCTCCTATAATTTTAAAGTATGACAAATCAACTTAATTCTTCTATAATTTGCACACTCTTGTGCTTCCCCTTTATTCTTAAAGATGGGGACCAAAATACTCTTCCTCCACCACTCAAGCATCTTTTTAATTTTTAAAATAATATTAAAGAGCACTTAACATTCTTTATAAGAAATCTTGATAAATTAGCACTTGCATTTAAAAAAATTATTTCATGAGTTTGTGTTAGTTTAAGAATTGTATTGTGTGATTTTGAATTTATAAAATATTAGTTTTATAAATTGCCAACTCAGTTCACCTTCACTCTTTTTATCACATCAAAAATTTTCCATATGAATCAAAGAAATAACTTGGCTGTCGACATGAAGAGTTTTTTGACATGCCACTTAGAAGAATCTTTTTCTTATTTTGTTTTATCAGATGTATAAAGGTATTACTTCAAATCCGTTTGCCAAATGAAACCAATTTCAATTTTTTCTTCGAAGGCTATTACTTATACAAATATTTGTCGAAGTTGCTTATTTAATACAGTTGAATCAGGACATCTGAAATATCTCGTACTCTTAGCTTTTCGGCTTACCTTGATGTCTCAAAAACTCTTCCCGCAACTCAAATTGCAAAAATAATAAATATGTATCAATAGTTAAGCTTATTGTATTAAGGGCTCATTAGGTTGCGTTAAGTTTAAACCATGCTTATGATTTGGTGAAATTTTTTGATCCCTTCGTTTTAGTTTTAAACATCATTACCAACTCCAAAACTTGTCAGCCATAAGGATTTTGTTGTCACATGCCAACCAGTAAAAACAAATTTATCTTTTTATAGAATATGTTTTCTATTTACAATCAGCAAAATAAGCATGAGGGTAGAATTGAAACTTGATTCAACGAAATAATTGTTTCTCTAGGGAGTAATACCGCTTGCATTCTCGGGACCTCCTAAACATGTATGGTACGTGGATTTCTTCAACAAATGCAGCATGTTGCAAAGGGAAAATATTGTATCAAGTTATATGCTCCTTATTTTAGGATGGAAAGAAGGATGAACAAACTTAGAAGGAAAATACTCAAAATATAAACATTCAAACAGAAATAAAAGCATAAGTGCTCAAAAAGTTGTTTCTAGTTTTTATTTAAATGTCTTCTCATTTGGTTTTTATATCTCTTATTTTGATCATCTAACTTCCCATTTTGACATGAAGAATCTCCAGTTCTTGTCTTACGGATCCTCATAGGGACTCTCCATAATTTTCAATTTCTCCTTGTTCTCATCCTGCTGCTTCCCAGAAGATATATCAGAATGAGCTTGAAATCCTTCTGAAGTTTCTTTGTCATTTTCTTTGCCCCACAGCAGCAAGTATAGACCAATAATAACAATCAATCCTCCCAATATGCTACATCAAAACATAAAATAATGATCAGAAGTTCACGTAGAAACATGAAATGTTCATGTGTTGTTTAGGAGAAACATGGCTTAGAACTTGTGGGATAAATTTACTTTAGCCATAAAACACTTCTTCATCCGTTGTGATTTGAACCAAATGGTTTAACAGACTATAATGTGGCATGGAGTTCATTGATTCTATTCATCAAAACAGTTTCTTAGCAAAGCAACTTAAAGCTGCATGCATCAATCTGCTTTGAGTTGCAGCTTATAGAAATTATTCCTATTCTATAGAACATGAATTTTTGGCTTTGCATAATAACTACTTGTAGTTTCTTTAATTGTTCTAATAAAATAGGAGGGGTTCTTTCAATTTGAAGGAACTGGCTTGTAGTTAAAAAAAAAGTCTATTTTATCCATGATTTTATTGTTTTTAATCACAATTTTTTTGGCAAAAATTAAGAATAAAATACCTCCCAGTGTACATTCTTTCACCGAACACAAAGTATGCTAGTAGTGCCACCAAGACTGATGCGAGAGGACTGAACATTGTTACAAAAACTGGTCCCTTCTCTTCAGTGCACCATAACTGAAAAAAGATTAAGAGACTAGAACATATGGCTCCCTGTAAAAAATCCATTTTCTTACAATTAGATTTTACTTAGTGATATTCTGTCATTTTCGCTAATTACTCACAGAGTATATGATATTCCATAGGTCAATGTTAAATCCAACGTGCCAAGCTTCTGATTTATGCTCTATTAATACAGTAAAAATTGCTGATTGTGCTCCTCCAATCAAGCACATCCATGCTGTAAGTGAAAGTTGTGCTGGATATTTCTTCAGTGTAACGGCCTGTATTTATTGTTGGTAACATATTAGAGACTATGAAGATGTAAATTTTGGTATAGTTTAAAATCTCGAGACAAATTTTTTCAAGATAAAATTTTGCTGCACGTGCTGTACTTGATAATTATTTGAAATTTTTGCATCAATTTTTTTGTCGTCCCTCTAATTGAATGACTTTCATATCATTATATTTGATGTATTTGAGTGATGTGTATAACTACCTGCATTATATACCACATTGACCATGTTATACAGCTTAAAACTACGAGAATTGATCCCTTGATCTGATTTTTATGGAGGGTCCTTCCTTGAATAAGAATCAATGCTCCCCAAAGATTCCTTATTGTTTTTCCCTTATAAAATGTCATAGTTGTGACACCAGCTAGGGAGATTATTGTTCCTGCAACTTTTGCCTTTCCATGGGCTTTCTTGATGTCAACAATTTCCAATCTAATGATGAATCGTGAAAAGAAAATTCGTAATAAGAGTTAAAATTAAAGAATATAAGAGAAATCACAAGAAGACCATAAAAGATATAGATTTTACATGGCTCTGAGATGTATTCTACTGCAACTTCAACCGCATAAATTTCATTATATTGTTCAAGTTACAGTAATGACTGATTATAGCCTTTAAATAGAAGGCTAAAGTGGCCACCAAAAAGAAAAAAAATTCACTATTATCCTCAGTATATTTTCACAAAATATAAATTAAATATTCCTTGCAATAGTATTTATATTGGGTACATCCTATAGCCCAAACCAACTGTCCGTAGTTAGATCCGCATGAACTTGGAGGGAATCAACATCAAGGAATAAGCCATCTAACTTTTTGTTCAATTAGGTATAATGAAATTCTATGAGTTGTGGAATTATCATGTATAGAGGGCAACCATTTCTAAGTTCTTAGTGCAGAGTAATAGAGAAGATGACATACCTTAGTAAAACAGCAATAATAAATGTCAAGGCAGCAAGGGTGTTAAGCATGGCAGCAACGAAAGTTGGTGAAGTGCATTTCAAGCTTGCAAAGTACATATTCAGAGTAAGACTGACCCTGTTAAGAAAAATATTCATCCATCCTTAGTTTTACAGTTTTGAAATTTTGTGATTCCTAATACTTTAGAATGATTTGAATTTTATTAGAAAATGCCTTCACCCTAGAATTGAAAGCACAAAAATCTCAAGAAATAATGCCCATGTTAGCTTTGGTCTTGCCTTCCTGTGATAAAATGAAACCCTCAGTATTAAGAAGCAAGAGGACAATTTCCATTTAGTATCAAATATAAGCAAAGTAAAAGTTTGCGTAACCATTACATTATATATGTAAATGAATGTAATAGTTATACCTTTCTAAGAAATAGGCAAAGGGACACATTATTAAGCCAGCAACAACATGCCTATAAGTTACATATATATGAGGATTCATCCCATGATTGAATGAAGCTTCTGTAAAGAAGTAGAGTAGTGTATAGCTAATCTGTGTCAAAATCATTAGAACATGAGGCTTGAATCTTCTGTGTATTTCTCCAATCTGCGACAGCTTGAGGTCCATAACTCTGATATTTTCTTCCCAAACTTTAGAAGATTCAAGTGCTTTTGTTACAGATCAATTGTTCAAAATGGATATATGTTTAGTAATATTTTCATAAAGTATTGTCACTGATAAGGGTTCTTATTATTTTTTTCGAGAATTATACATACATACCACAGAATTCAAATGTATTTACATATCTAACACCCAAACATTGATTTTTAACATATTTAACACCTTGGTTTCATGAATCTATGCATGAAAGGTGTATTTCAATTTTAAAAAGATAATGATGGTGTTATTTTTGATAGTTTTTTTGTGTTAGATATGTAAATACAATAGACTTGTGTGGTATGTGTGTAAAAGCCTCTTATATTTTTTGATATATAATGATTTTCACAAGAATGCAGAGCGGTGGACAAAAAGATGGCTTGTAAGTAGTGGACAGTAGCTTAACAAAATTTTATATGAAAACATACTGGGTGATGAGTCACGACAGACAAGAGAGAGTTAGTGCCTAAGCATTGGTTTTGCATGACAAGGACTTTGCTTAGCCGCACTTTGGGTAGATTATAAAGCATGAGAACCGAAACTTTTTATATTATATTTTAATGCAAGTTATAAGTTTTCCTATTATCAACCATAGATCTTGCTCATACAGGATGGAAGTTAACATTAACATCTTGTGTACTACACATTTGGAATGAAAGAAGATTAAGGATTTGACAATCAAATCCTTTTAATGGGATAAGAACAATGATGATAATGATAGTGATGGTGTTAATAAAATTTACATGCATTATTGAGCAGCTATTGTGTGTTCTTTCCATGCATTTCAATTTCATTATCTCAGGATCATTAAATTGCCTAGGTGCAAACATAATTTTCGACTCAAAGATCACATCTTAATGTAATTCAAAATGATCAAATTAGCGATCAAACAAGTTCAAATTGACATGTCAACCAAAGGCAATCTTTAACGTGTCTACTTGTTCGTGGATGCTTTGACACCTCGCGAGTGTGTTAAGGCTTTCTCTGCTCCCTGAAAAAAGGAGAGCTTGTAGTAGCAAGCTTGGTTGTTGAATCTTAGCAATTTTAATGAAGGCTTGCCTAGGCATGGATGTATAAATTTTAATGAAGACTCTATCAAAAACTAGGTAAGCCCTATAGGGGAAGTTGGCAATTCTTACTCTAGAATAAATGCCCTTTTTTGATTTATCACATTTTGATGGAGTCATTATAAAAATTACATGCTCTTGAAAATATATATGCGGTATACATCTTATATGTAAGATAATTGGAGATCAACAGGTACATCTCAGAATCGTATTTTTTATAAGAATTTGAGTCAATAGTAGAGTACGAGTTTCCAAATTAAAGGTTAGATAGTCCATCTTGGTGTTCCTGGCATTTCTCTGAATGAATGGAAGTTTTCATGATGAGAGCTTATTGAAAGCGATGAATTTTGATCCTCAAGATGAAAATCCCAAATTTTCTTCTATTCTTTAAGAGCGTGGATAGCCTTTAGAGTTGTCTTGATATTTAACATGTTTTTATATGTCAGGCTAAATAAGGTAACTTATTGATGAAGCCTTCTGGACTGCAGCGATTGCGTTTGCTTATAAAGTAGTGTCGTGTGGTTGCCAAATTTTTTTGTAATGATTGAAGTGGTATGGATAGCTTTAAGTGATGAAAGTATATGAAGTAGTGTTGTTGACATGACCAACTGGGGCATCAGCATGAAGCTGAATGTATAGGTGTAGATAATGCAACCATCTTCAGAAGTGAAGCTACATGAAATGACATGAGATATGGATATCATAATTGAAAAAGATAGATTGCTAGAAAGTGTTAAAGCAACATGTGGAGATATAGATAATGCAATAGACAAGGATTAGATCGCGAAGTATCAGATAAAGGTCCATGTATTGCAATTGGATGAGAAGTGGAACTGTAAATCTACATGTAAAGGTGCTAGCGATGTGATGAGCTTAGGCAATGAAATTGCACAGAGGCATATGAGATGTGATTATCTGAGGAGCAAATGTTGAGGTTACACGTCGAGTTGTGGGGCACTACAAGCTTTGTAATAAAGTCACATGTCATATTGCAAGCGATAAGATAGATTAGAGAGTGAATGTCAAAGTTGTGCTTAGAGTCTAGGCAACATAATCAGCTATATATATAGAAGGGCAATTAAGTGAAATATAGCATGCATGTGATGTGCAAGCTGAGCAAATGTGTTCTAATTGTTAGAGAAAATTTATTAAGGTATGTGAGAGTATTGAGTTTAGTTCTACATTAATTAGTTTAAGAAAATGTTATTGTAATAATAAGTAATTGCCTCTCACTCATGTCTAAATTTCTTGGCTGAACATAAATTTGACCACTTCTATATTGAACTTAATTCCAACTCCATTTGATTCAAACTTGAACTCCCATTAGTTTTGGCTAGATTTTACCATTGTTGAGCATGGTTGAGGAGCAATTGATTCCTAAGGTATGTTAATTTGTCATCACTTCGTCAAATTTAGATTTTTAGGATTCAATTCAGGGGAGAAACCTTCTCTCATTATAACCTGTTTGCCAAATAAAATTAGAACTTCTGTTTTGCAAAATATTAGGTGAGACACTTTACTAAAATCATCAATAATCAACCACTCAAGCTAGGTTCAAATTTAGCACACTAGAAGCTTTTTCAATTTGGGATTTACTCCGCTTCCTATGGGATTAATACACGAATCTCAATTTGTATATTACTTAATCGACATATATTTTGTGACTTGTCAGTTCTTCGCCGCACTTGGTTCGTATTAGTGAGCTTAGAGCGGATGATGGGTAGAATGGGGATGAACTCGATTAAAATCATATGATTGTCATCCCTAGTTATTGTGATCTCTAGTATATTTATCAGAGGATGAAGTTGGTCCAACATAATAGAATGATTCTTGTCAGCAATCACGTGTTATTTTATTAAGATGTAAAATATTTAATATATTTATAGTTTTATTTAAATTTAACTCATGTTTATTTAAATGCAATAGTTATTTATAAAATACAAGCCATTTAATCAGCAGCAACTTTTGAGGCACATATAACATATTTTTAAATAAATTATAATATCATCATTAATTCAATTTATTATTATTAAATTAATAAATAAACAATCAATATTAAAATTAAATTATTTAAAAAAAAAAAAAAAGATCCATGCAACTCTATCCTACAGTTAAGCCTCCCCCACTTTCTCTTTCTCCCACTTATTTACTCATTAATTCTATCTACAAATATCTCCATGCAGGCCTTGTTCTCTCTATTTATGAAAGAAATGAACTCTTATCAAGCTCTTGTTAAAGCGGGCTAGAGATGGACGGCCCACCAAATTTAAACTTGCTGTTATTTATTTATAAGCACCAATAAACTTATTTATAGTTTAATAAATAACTTGTTAAATGTTCTATATAAGTTGATGATTTGTATCATATTTGACATTATATAAACAATAATTGATTGACAATATCCATTATAATTTAATATAATTTCTACTTATTTTCTTTATTTCAATGAAATTGTTTGCTGAAATTTATTTATATTTTTTTAATGGTAAGAAAATTTATTTTTAACTTATATAATATTTTCTTTAATTGGTGTAAATTTGTTAGACATTAAGTTAAAATTTACTTAGATTTTTAAAACTATTCGTTCCTAAATTTTTTTAATTTGTTTATTAATTTATTGAGGTATTTGTCCGATTACAAGCCAGATATGGTTTCCAAACATGTTAATCAAAATAGATTTGGATATAACCTCCATATGATAAAAACCTGCATCCAAGACATACTTCTGTACGTATTTAATTTCCAAACTATCCTCACCAGCCTCAATATGAAGGCACGCTGTATCAATCAGTGATATGTTGTGGTGTAATGAAATAGTATACATGGATTTCCTTCAACAACTTAGTTTCTTCATGATATCATAAACTATTGCCACCTCTTATTCTCCAACTCAATATATGTCTTGACTCAACCCGATGCAACCCGCCATATGGAGATGGGTCATAGGCGTCATCACTACAACTTTCGTGATAAACTATGATTTGCATGATCCATAGTTCTTTCTCTCCCGACTCCAGCCCTTGCGGCCTATAGGCGTCATTATAACTCACCACTATGACCTACATGACCAACTACGACCTAATTGGTCCACATGTAGTGCAGCTCCTGAATCTAGCCCCTGCAACCTACAGAAGTCATTGTGATTAACAAATATGACCTATATGGCCTGCAAGGTCTACAACCCACACAACTCTTTACTATGACCTATATAGACAATCGATGCTCGTAAAGCAATCATCTACGACCCACGTGGCAAACTACTATTATGGTTATCAACCACGACCTCTATGACAAGCTGTCACTACTACTACCATCTACAACACTCACGACAGACTCCTATGTCAACGAAAGTCAACTATGGCCCTTGCAGCATGCTGCTGCTAAGAGCTACAATCAGATTGCAGATGTACGACTTTGTAATTTCATTTTCCCTAATTCAGGAGATGAGTGAACCTGTGTACTCACCATTAATAGTGGATTATTTCAACTGGCCTTGTTCTCTTGATTTTTTCCCTTACAAGGGTTTTCAATGTAAAAAATCTGCTGGAGTTTTTGACCATCATTTTTATTAACTAAGTGTGTGATGGGTTCTTGTGCAATGTTAAGATGACAAATATTCATTTCTCTACCGCCGCGAATCTTCTAGCACGCATCAAGTCTTGCTCTTCCACATGTGAGTAAAGCAAGGGTGAACAATCACAACTTAGTAAGCTACTCCAAATCTACTGTAATTTCAATTTTTTTCTTAAAAAAAAACTTGATATTTATTTGAAGTAAATAAATCAAACATGACAACATTATATATTGTACCTATTGCAATATCATTACAAGGAATTGTAACCACGGTAAATATATATCAAATGCTAGTATAAGCAACGTGATATCAAAAATAAAGTAGAAGAA